TTCTCCACGATGTAGTTGCTTGTGTGGTAGCACATGCACCGATTTCCACGGGACGCTCGTGACGAAGTGTGAACAGGAGTTGTTCCTCGTTTGGGTGGCCCGCGCTTCTCCAGATCTTGGACGCGGTTCATAAGCATTTGCAGCATCAAAGCCTGCTCGTTGCAAAGATGCTGCCTCCTCATCAGCTCTCGTTCTATTCGGTTGGCCAACGTGTCAACTTTGGTTTCTTCTATTCTGCCTTCTATCAGATTTCGAAGCTCAGGAAAGAAGTACTGTTTCTCAGCGTCAATTTTTCCAACAGAAGATGGCGCCGTTTTTGGTTTGCCGTTTTCATGTATAGAAAGGAAATCGCCAGAGACCAAACTGGGATTGGACAATCTCGATAAATTCTCAGAGACTCTTTTGTCGACAGCCTCCCGAAGTTTCGCATACAATTCGTCTCTATCGTTTTTGTCCGCTTCGCCAAACGCAACTTTGCTCCCATCAGGGGTCTTTAGCGTCTCTAAGCGGCTGCTTCGTCCGTCGTTTTCACCAAGCGACGGAAAAATTTCTTTCATGGCTTCGTAGCGCGCTTCGAATGATGGCAGGTCTTCATCCATGTCATCTCTGCAAAAGGCCCAGTTTCCTTCGGTCCATGCATGCGATGGATTTTCGTTTCTCTCTTGTGCAATTTCTTCGACACTAGAAACATCGCTGCCACCACTAATAAGATCCATTTCTTCTTCCCCAAACTTTATATTTTCCGGTTTAGCGGTTGAAATGGAGAATATCCTCAAAGGGGTGGAACCCTGGCTATCTTGCGAATCAGTGAGCAACGGTTTGAAGTCGAATTTCTTCTCCATCTCAAGAGAGAATTCTTTGACCTTGAGAACGATCTCTGTAGTTGCATCTGACACTTTGATTTGTGGTGGTCACTGATGTAGTCTTCCGTTGTCAAGATAATTGGTTTGATTTAACTTGACCAATCACGGCTTGTAAGTGATATTAGTCAGGGACAAAGGCTGGATATGTGGTGTATAAAAACAATGGAAAAAGAAACTACGAGATTATTGTTAAACAAGTTAACGACTGTGCGTTCCAGTAGCATTTTCAGAGTTGGAAATTCTTGCTTTAGTCAAAGGAAGAAAAAAAGTTTCGGCAA